GCAGCAGGAAGTGACGACACGAAGCTCTGAGAGCAGCAGGAAGTGACTACATGAAGCTCAGAGCAGCAAGAAGCTAACTAAAATCTAAAGGTATCCAAAGGCTAGCTAAAAGCTAAAAGTAGTGACTTTTAGCCATATTCCTGATATGTTCGGAGCTCCAGTTGCAGACACACTGTCGTCAAAAACAACCTGTGTGTACTGAAATATTTAAACATCAAGGTGGAAATAATGTATTTTAGCTGCTAATCAGGTTCTTTTATCAACCACTAAGAGATCATTTGTGGTTTCTGAGCATTAGCTTGCAGCTTCATCACCTCCAACCAACCAGGAAGTTGGTGTTTATTACTATGATAGTCAATATGAATGTATTGATTAACTGATCAGGAGTTTGTGCTGCTCTAGAGCATACAGGTGTGTGGCAGCACAATGCCAAGACAGAAAGACTATCAGCAATGACCTCAGAGAAGTAGCTGCTGTTGCCCATCAATCTGGTAAAGGTCAAAGGTCATTTAGAGTCCGTCGTTCCACAGAGAGTAACATTGATCACAAGTGGAAAATATTTCAGATGGCTGACAGTCTGCCCAGGAGATGCACCCTGAAGGTCAGACCATGCAATGCTCAGAGAAATGAGCTCCATCTCAGACTCCACAGGCCTCAGCAGGTCAAAGGTCAAAAACAACGACTAAGTTTGGCCAGTTTCATCTGAATGAACCACCAGACTTCTGGACCAGAACCAGACCAAAGGACAGCTGTTTACCCAGAATGCACTGCAGCAAACAGCTCAGCTGTCAGCATGGTGGTGGAGGGCTGATGGCGTGGGCTCCTGTCAGTCACTTAAGTGGACCAAGAACTCCTCTGTAGACCAAAAGGTTCTGGAGTCAAACATGGGTCCTGGTCCTCCTCGACCACATGAGAGGCTGAAAACAGAAAACGAAGTTACAGCTGCTAAAAAAGCGCTGCTGGAATCAGTTAGTCCACACACGCCTTCTGTGTCTTCTTCTGTCCGGCCTCATAAAGACCAGATTTGTTTATGTCCTGAAATCTAAAACCTCTGAGGTGACAGAGAGCGCTTCACAGTGGCTGACTCAGAGGCCTAAAGAGTCCGGAGCTCCAGGGCCGCTTTGTTTGAGTCCAAACAAAAACCTGCTCGGGGTTGTGGCATGAGCACGCATCAATAACGGCTGTTTGTAAGGCTGATGGACCGGTTTTACCTCACGGCCCGCTCCTGGATCACACCCACACTGAGCCGTACGCGGCACCGCCGCTTGGTTTAACATTAAAGGAGGAAATCCAGCATCGGGCTGAAGTCCGCTAACAGCAGCTGCACTTCCTCATACACGTGCACTTGCTGCCACGTTACCGTTGGAGACGGTAGTTTCTGCGCTGCCTGACCCATGACTGCTCAAAGTCAAGCCCAGCGGAGGCCGTGACCTCATCACCGGACCCGGTGGACCTGTTCTGACCAGGCGGCACCGCTGCAGGCTCAGGTGGTGAGTGTTTCAATCCACACGGCCGTTTGAGGCTCAAGGTCACTCTGACCCACAGCTGGACCCTCTGGACGCAGCAGAAGGTTCCTGCGGGTCAACATTTCAGCCCGGTTCTGGCTCTCGTAGCAGAACCTGACATTTTAACTCTGCTGTTAGAAAATCATTTCCTGCCAGAGGCGAGGAACACAGAACTTTGATCTCAACAACTTTTACTTCCTGTGGTGAGAATTATTGCACGGGTGTTGCAGAGATTGGGGGGGGGCAGTTTGACACAAAGACACGAAACGTTGATCGTTTGTGTCAAACGCAGAAAACATGGAAACTACAACTGAACATGTTAGATAACAGTTTAGATAAAAACTCACCAGAGGAGGTGAAAGTTACTTTAAATACAATGTCAGGGTCTGTCTCTTCACTAAAGACATATCTGAGATATTTATGAGTCATTTGAATAAATTTAGGACATCAAACTTTTTAATTTTCCTTCCAATGATCCAGACGTTCCTGTAATCCCTTAACATTCTTGGGACTTTCTCTTTGGACTCAATTGTTCAAATGTTCTGATCAGACCTCAACTTCTCCAGGTTCTCTTCCACCTGCTCCCTACTCTCACATCAGTGTCATCTGCAAACCAACGGATGAACTTTGACCTCTGAGTCTTTCATAGCAGACAACTTTGTTTTTTTGCTATGACCGCCACAGCCTGTCAACATCCCCAAACACAAAAATGTCTCTAACTCGTTCAGCTTTGCAGCTGTGGAGCTATAATTTGTGGTGGTAGTAGCTGAGAGTCATCCCTAACCCACACTTTGAAAGCGAACGTGGGATGTTTGTGTCAGACGTTGCCATGGACAGTCGGAGCTCTTCAGTCTGGCTCTGATCTAAACTCTGTGGTCTCTCTCTAAAATGGCTCAGGTAAGATATTAACTGTTCACATTCTGTCCACGGGGCCCCACTTCACAAGAATCAAATCTAGTTTAGTTTTTGAACTTTGATTCAAAGGACTGAAAATGTTTTACATCCTTGAAGGAATATTTATGCCTGACTGAATGATTTTAATTAGATTATACTGGAAACCAACCAGTTTGTTTATTTAACAGGAGTTATGTTCAAAGGTTGAATTAAAACTTTTTACTTTGGTTATTTCATTATTAAAGCATTGAAAGAGGCGGCACGATGGAGCAGCTGGTAGAGCTGCTGCCTCTCAGCGAGCAGGTCCCTGGTTCAAACCCCGGTCCGGGGGCCTTTCTGGGTGGAGTTTGCATGTTCTCTCTGTGCATGCGTGGGTTTTCTCAGAGTGCTCCAGTTTCCTCCCACAGACCAAAAACATGCATGTTAGACTGATTAGTGACTCTAAACTCTCCCTTGGTGAGTGAGAGAGTGAATGGTTGTTGGTCTTGTTTGTCTCTGTGTGTCCCTGTGATGGACTGGAGACCTGTCCAGGGTGTCCCCCGTCTCTCGCACAGTAACTGCTGGACATGGACACCAGTGACCTCTGTGACCCAAAAAGGAAAAAGCTGGTAAAAGATGATGGATGGAAACTTTGAAAGAGAAATGTTTACAGTGACTGATGAGGATCATCCATCCATGAACTGTCATGTGCACCAAAGAGGGGTCTCATCTCTCTCCACAGCCACCTCTTCAGCTCTTCTTGAAGATTCCAAGGTGTTCCCAGACCAGGTGAGAGACATGATCTCTCCAGGGTGTCCTGGGTCTTCCCTGGGGTCTCTTCCTAGTTGGACATGTCCAGAACACCTCCCTAGGGAGGGGTCCAGGGTCCATCCTGACCACATGTCTGAACCACCTCAACTGGCTCCTCTGGATGTGGAGGAGCAGTGGTTCTACTCTGAGTCTCTCCTGATAACTGAACTTCTCACCTGATCTCTGAGGGAGAGTCCAGTTACCCTGCAGTGGAAACTCATTTAGACCTCCTGGATCCAGGATCTGGTTCTTTCAGTCTATATCCCGAGTTCAGGTCCAGAGGTGAGGGTAGGAACGCAGACCAACCAGTGAACAGAAAGCTTCCCCTTACAGCTCAGCTCCTTCTTCACCACAACGGACCGGCTCAGAGTCCACAGTACTGCAGAAGCTGCACTGATCTGTTGACCGCTTCTACCTTGAAAACCCAGAGATACTCGAACTCCTCTTCCAGCTGTCCAAGCCTATAAACGTGAAGGTTTTATGTTGATGGAGCAGAGGACTCGTTGGTTGGATGAGTGAGGACGTCCTGCTTCATCTCCTCACAAACAATGACGCCGACTGCAGTCACAACCCGCCCACTCTGTAATTTATTCAACACAAACAAGAAACACAATACTCATCCCTTCCTGTGGACACAACATTTCCCAGGAGTGAAGTGACGGATTAAAAACAACAAATCCTAAAGCTTTCAAAGTGGAATATAAGTACTAGGTTTTACCCAAATAACACTTTAGTTTTGTCTGTGTTCCACTAACCCGTCATCACCGTGTTCCTCCTGTGAACTGGTAGTTTACGTAGCAGAGGACTTCTACCCGAGGACATGTCCTGTCATTTTGCTCGTCTATAAATAGTTTCTGCTGTCCCAAACGAGACTCGTCCACAGCACAGCCACGGTGAGCCCTCACACTGTTGAAACATGCTCTGGGGACAAAGCTTCATATGCAATAAAGCAAAACTATGAAAGTTGATTACCAGTATGTTCAATAAACTACTAGTTTTAACGATTACCTGCGAAACCATGGATAGCAGGGTATATGATGCCGAACATCTGAACAAGTGTCATAAAAAGTTGCAATGATGCAGTGAATAGAGCTCTAAAATGCTTTATATGACTAGTGAAAGTTGTGCATATTGTTATTTTTGGAGGCTCGCCAGAATAAACAAACAAAATATCCAAGTTATGAGGGATGAAAATTCTTTCAAAACCTCGGCCTGATGAGTTGATTGTATGAAAACACGAAGCAAAACCTTTCAAATTAATTTAAGAATGGTTTAGTTCATTTTAACAACATGTGAGTTTGCTGAGCTAACGCTGCTAACGGTTGTTCTCATTTTAACAACATGTGAGTTAGCTGAGCTAACGCTGCTAATGGTTGTTCTCATTTTAACAACATGTGAGTAAGCTGAGCTAACGCTGCTAACGATTGTTCTCATTTTAACAACATGCGTCAGTTGAACTAACGGTGCTAATGGTTCTTCTCATTTTAACAACATGAATCAGCTGAGCTCACGCTGATAATGGTTGTTCTCATTTTAACAACATGAGTCAGCTGAGCTAACGCCGCTAACAGATGTTCTCATTTTAACATGTGAATCAGCTGAGCTAATGCTGCTAACGG